CCGAGGGCGACAAATCTGGTTCAGCTTGCCTTTGTCGTTGTTTTTATATGTCAATATTTTCCTTTTTCAGGTATTATATTAATAAACTCAACAGGCTAATAGTTTTATTTTATTTCTGTTTAATTGTTGTTATTAGAGAAAAATCATGCTTCCAGAAAAGAGGTACATCCACGTCGAGGGAGTTTGGTCCAGAAAAATATTGAAGCAGAACTAACCAGTGCTCAGACTACGCAAACTCCAGATGGTAAACTTCTTAAATACTTACAGCAACTCATTTCCGAAATGGCACCAAGCCTTGAGACGACTGGTTCAGCATCAGCAGTATTGGAACTCTCTAGGGCTTGTTCAGATTCTAAATTTCCAGATGCTTGTGAAAAAGCTGGTAGTGGAGTGCTGAAGTTGAGAGAAGGATTGGGTTTAGTCACCGAAGCGGAAACACTGTTTTCCTCTCCTCCTACAAACTCCAACTCAACGCCCCAAAACTGAATCACAACTTGTTCTGTCCCAGATTGCCTCCTTTTGGGTTCATGTCAATTATCATCATCAAGTAGAAGTCATTTATTATGAATTTCACAACTGAATATTTTGGTAGCCTGATCTTAAGATGTCTGAATTTGTATTTCTATAAATAAATCTGCGAAACCCTTTTGTTTTGCTTGGCCTAATTCAAAGTGTTCCGAATTTTTGTTTTGGTAAATTTATATATTTTCAATAATCCCATTGCAATTTGCAATACTATAGAATTGTAACAATGAAATTTGAAACAATCACTTCAAATTATATATATATATCTGAACAAACTTTCGGAGTTTTTTCTTTTCGAAGTTTTACAGGGGTCCTGGCCCCTCCTTGATTCTCTATGAAGTTCTGTTCAGATGTAATATTATCAAATGACCAGATCAACCTAAAATAACATATTTCTACTCCGTTTCACGAGAGTCTTCTATTAAGGTCTCACTAAGTGTTTCGCAAACCAAAGAAAAGTCAACTCAACAACTTCCAATATTAACAAGATGCGAAAACACACTTTAACAACTTATGACCCGTTTGATAACCATTTCAATTTTAGTTTTTATTTTTTATTTTTTGTGCTAAAGTATAGATGAACAAGAGAGGAAAATGAGAATGAGAATGGGAGTGAGGATGAGGATGAGATTGAGAGAGAGAATGAGAGGGGATGAGTAACAAAGGTGAAAACAAAAACTTGAAAGTGAAAACAATTTCAAATAGATTTCAGTTTTTAGTTTTTGTTTTCACTTTTGTTACTCCTCCCTCCCATCCTCCCCTCGCATACATACATTTTCAAAGCAAAATGATTACAGATATACTGAATTGTACATGAGGAAACTTAAATCAAACATAATACAAGCTAGCTCTAATTATTGAAATCATAATACTGAATTGTCCAACAGAAACCCTCCCCCTTTTTACCATAATAAATTCAGAAAGTATAAATATAAAATAAATGAAAAGCAGGAACTAATAAAGTAACAAGTATCAGTGGCGAGGGTGAATTGTGTAGTATGTCTGTAAGGAAGTGAGAAGGAGAAGGGCAACCGCAGCCATGAATGATATGACTTTCCATGTTGTAGAGAAATATGTGGTACAAAGGATCCTTTTCTGCCTTTGGAATTGCACCCTTAAAAGTACCTGAAGTCTGAACCAATTGTACCAGGAGTTTCGGTATTCATTCACTTGTTCGCAAAGCTTACCAAAACAGAAGTCGTCCTTGACAACAACTACTTCATCTAAGATATTTTTAAACTCAGTCAAATATTGTTTGTCTCCAATCCGATTGTGCTTTATGATCTTTTTTCTCCGAAGCAGTTTGATATCCTCTGAGGAACGGATGAGACTTTTCATGAGGAAGGCATACGACGTGACGCCATGTGTACTGCCAAGACTGCATTGCTCATAAGCAATCAGGTTCCGAAAGAGTGAACTCGTCGTGTCATGAATGAGCACTTGTGGAATTGTAATTACCCCATCCTTGAAAGTTATTTTCAACAAATTGTCCTCAGTACTTGTCCCAACTTTCAGCTCCACTCCCGACTCCAAAAGCTGTGAGGCGCAATGGTTCAATCCCCACTTTGTATCGCTTGCTGGCTCTACAGATTGATCATGATCAGGATCAAGGCATGACGTTTGTTTAATCTTTCTTTTTATTTTCCTCAAAAGGCCTGAACATTCACTCTCGGGGCTGGATTCCTTATCAATATCAATTGACACGTCGTCGATTGAGAGGAAGTAGAATTTGTGCAAGAGATCAAGCAAATGCTTGAACTCTAAACTTCCCGTCTCTTCTTTTATTTGCTTTAGGCTCAGAGGCTGAAAGAACTTGAGAGCAAGGCTAGTGACCGACTTTGGCAGTTTGCACTTAATGACATAAGGCTTGATAGCTTCGTATAAAAGTTCGAGAATAAAGAAGGGGATCTGGTTTTCAAGTAATGCCAGATCATGCCGAAGAGCAGCAATCATCCAAGCACTTTCTGTGCATGGATCAGATTTGTATTGGTCAGAATTTATATAATTTAAGCTTCGGTCAAACCTGAGGAAAAGTTCCAATATGAAGCAACCATCAAGTAACATTATTTCTGCAAGCTCATCCTCTGTATACTTGATGGTTTCGGTGTAGCACTGGCGAACCACTCGATCCAAACCATAAATAGCCTCGGTGCAGTCTTCGAGACATTTCCGAGACTGTTGTTCAGCGCATTTCCTATACTTGGGATCTTCAGGATCTTGAACCACTTTTTGCTGAAAAAATGACATCATGTAAAACCATTTATATTGTTTCATTGGTGCAAGGTTATCAACACTGTCTCGATGCAAAGGCCCCACTGAGACAACGCGAGGGCGGTAGGCATCCACCTTGACTTGCCGAAGTTTATCTGGAACTTTATAGATACAAAATTCTCCTTCGACTAGTATTTCGTTCTCGGGGTAGAAGATTTTGTACTTTGTTTGGTCCACTTTGCTGAGATTTTCAATAATCTTCTTCTTCCAGTTTTCTTTTCGTGTCTCTTCATCATCTGCTGCAGGGTTTGTCTCACGTACCTGTTTCATTAAAATGGATAGGAGAAGAGGAGGCAACAACAGGCAGAAAACAAAAAAAACAAAAAAAAAAACAGAAGGTGTAATTTAATACACTGCAAATACAAAGTATATGGGTTGAGCTTTAATGTCAATGTGGATGTAAAAGCAGAGTCAAAGAGAGAAGCTCTAAATTTACCTGAAGTTCTTCTCTTGATTCACTCATCTTGGAAGATTTCCCTTTATCGTCCGGTCGTCTACCAATGTGATCGAGCTTAGTCCTAGAAGACTGAATATTGCCTTTAATTTATAGCCAAACTCTGAAGATAAAATATAATTTTACAAAGACTCTATTCCCAAGTCTCAAAGTTATACAATATCTATCGTTCACTCAATGGTACTCCCCTAGCTTAGCCCTATAGCAGGCTGGAATTAATTAAGAATGACTCCGTCTGAAGAAAACCACCTTAATTAGTATATAATTTATTTGTACCTAACAATCGGTATTTGTTTAATGACTGAGATTCAGACATCTAACTACGGAGGAAGAATTCGTCACAGCCGTTTTTTTACTTGTAACCGTGCACTCTCCCTCAAGAAAAACTTGGATGCACCCGTTCCATAAAACGATTGTCTCATTTTCATGTTCATGTGCTACTACTTACATGATATACGTAGCAGATGTTACACTTTTAAAACGAGTGTCTCACTTTCATGTTCATGTTCATGTGCTACTACTTACATGATGTAACGACGCAGGCAAATTTTTCTCCTCTCCCGTTCTGGCCTCTCAGCACACCAACAAACATATTTTAAAACTTGCACAAAGTCGCCTGACCTTTCGAAATTAAAGAACTCGCACAGTCAAGTCAATAATGAATTCTTTTCTTTTTTTTTTTGCTGGATAGTCCTTAAATAATGAAGAAGTGGATATGGTTGATAATTTTTTATTATTAATTTTCCTTTTTTTTTTTTCAACAAAGAATATACAAGGTAAGTCAATACTCAATAGGTAAAACCAAAATCAGAGTTTTATCCTTTAGATGTTCTCCTTCTAGTTGACTAATTAAACTCAAAGGACGGACCAGGAGAAACCCTCCAGCCCCAACCTCATTACTTTTATAAGCAAAAAAACAGAGCATATGAAACAAGCAATATTAGCTAGTGAGGAGGCTGAATGGCGTAGTATGTTTAAAGTTGTACTTGCATGAATTTTATTCGTGCAGATTACATGCTTTTGAATGGTGATGAAAGCCAAACCTCAGGAGGCTCAGAGGATTGGGTTCCAATTAAATGCAAAGTACTTGTGTTGTGCGTTTTATTTTCAGTTTGACAATTGGATGGTGTTATTAGTTTAGGGATCACTGAGGCTAAAAATTTAGTTATATTTTTATTTTAGACCAAGCGGGGCAGAAGCAAAGGGTTCAAGTCTAAGGTGTAGAAAGCATTTGAACCTCATCTTTTGACTAGTGACATGAAGGGCAATTAACTTTGATTGGGTGCTTGGGAAACCCAGAATGCAGGGGAAGTTTAGCAACTAGCAAACTGCTATTATATTTACTAGTTAGTGACCATGAGTGTTTTGTAATACTATGGCTGTTCAGAATGACTTAAGCTGTGATTTTGAATGTTTTGTAATTCCAAAGTCTGTAATGCCAAGTTATTCAGGCATATCAGGTTACAACTTTATGTTTACATTGGAAGGGATTTGGCACCTCAATTCAATTGCTGGGTTTGTGTTTGGTTATTGTTAGTTATATTATTTACAAATTTATGGACAAACCCTATATTATTTGTTATGGAATTGGAAGAGGCTAATTAGTTCGAGTGCTACTATTTCCACCCCCTTATCCTATTTCCCCACCCACCATGTAAATTTGAAAAAACACAATCTTATTTTTTCACCCACCATTATTCCTAAAATACCCTTTAATTATTAATTTAAGCAACTTCACTTTGCTAATAATTAATTCGTTAATTCAAGCAAATTCTCATTGCCAATGGGAATTAAGGCGGCTTCGGTTCCACCAACAATCATCAAATCAGCCTCACCTCGACAAATGTGATTTGCAGCAGTATATGAACAGTAATTTCAAGTAGCACAAGCAGTCGAAATCGAATAATTTGGTTCCATAAAGCCCTGATCAATACCAAGCAACGCAGACCCCATGTTTGTAATAGCATAAGGAATGAAAAATGGGGTTATTTATTTCACCAAAAACAAGAAAAATGGGGTTATTTTCTTGTGACCTTTTCTCTATCAGTGCATGGAGACCCATTCCTGATCCAACAAGCACAGCCTGCGATTTATCAAGTTGTAAGTAAAGCAAAACCAACCATTTTAGAAAGTCATGTATAGAGTACAGAGTTCAGAGAACAAAATCAACACTTTAAAGATGCCAACAATTTCCCTATGCATGACCCGAAATTAGCAAAGCACTAACACCCCAGATCCACAGTTTCTAACTGAATTCATTACTTATACACAAAATTTAAACCAAATATATCTCAAAGATAACCCAATTTGCACATTCTACCAAAAACCCATCAAGCTCATTAGCATACAGAAACAATTAAACGCATGCAAATCAAAGAAAGCAATGACCTTCGCTTATTGCCACCAAGATCAGCATCTCTAGAGCTTTCGTCCATCGTTCTTGCCATCAATGTATCCCTCGGACAAGAACCCACGGATCTAGGCCCCGAATCGAGTTGGGAACTTGGACTCATCGAACCAGTCGACGGGACCCATGAAGAAATAGAAGAGTAGGAATTAAGGGTGGGCATTCAAACCGGAAAACCGAGCCGAATTGGGCCCAAAGAAAAGGGATTAGACTGAGTTGACCAAAAACCAAACCGAACTTATTTGGTTCGGTTCCAATTTCAATTCTTGTAGTAAAAAAGGGGGACCAGCTTAAATATATATTATTTATTTATATAATATTAGCCCAAACCTAATTTTTTCTCCAAGCCTAATCTTTTTTCAAGTCCAAATACTCTTCCAAGCCATCAACCCCAACTCCAAGCCCTTTATTTGTTTTTCAAGCCTAAAAAATAAAATTTTAGTTGGAATTTATATAAAAATATCATTTGAAAATATAATAATAATAATTCGGTCCAAAATTGAACCAAATAAAAAATTGGATCAGAATTGATTCAAATCGAACCAACCGGTTTTATAATTTTTTTTTATTAAAACCAAACCGAATTGGACCAATTAAATAATATTAGTTACAATTTCAATTTGAGATGGAGACCAGACCGCACCCACCCCGAGTAGGAATGCTTACAATCTAGGCTTATTACAAATACTCTTGAAACTTGAGGGACGAAAAGAAAAATTCAGAGACCAAAGTGGGATAAACAAAAGAGATTTTCTATTTAAACCCCACACTTCTCTTAGTTCACCCCATCTTTTAATTTAAATTTTCACAATTTCTAAGAAAACCCCACTATCTTCCTAAATTACCCTTAAATACACCCCAAACTGAAAAAATAAGAAATAAAAGAGATTTTCTATTTAAACCCCACAATTTTCTTTGTTCCCAATAGAAAAAAACACAAACAAATGGAACCCCAAACCCGAAATTTAATACTTTCTAGAGAAAGAGAACAACTTTACCTCTCTCAAAGTAGAGGAGTTTGTAAAAGAGTTTGTCCTGATCTTATCCAATTTATATTTTACCTATGTCTTGATCCAATTTAAATAGGATGTAGAGGAGTTTGTATTTTTCTAAAACTTAATATGAAGAGTGGTGGGGTGTGTGTATAGATGTACTAGGGTTAATTATTAAGATGGATGACCTTTTTTGTCTTTTTCCACAATAATAAAACTTACAGCTTAATAATTTAAATATTGGGGTGAACAAAGAGAAGTGCGGGGTTTAAATAGAAAATCTCTAAACAAAAAATTTCAGGAAACCACATGCGGGATCTATGATTAATTTAAAATTTTGGATAACCTATGACGAAAATCTATGACATATGTCACTTATCTAAGCCGCAGCGGCAACAACTTTCAAATTCAAAACAATTGCATGCTTAGCTGGAAAAGCATTGAAGACTGCTAAATAATTGGAAGCATTATTGACTACTATATATATCTCCTAGTAACCAACCCTATATGATTTTACCATCTGAGCAGTAATTACTTCTTATTTCCTATGCTTTGACCCGATTCATTTGTTTGATCCAGCGAAGGAGGAGCCAGGAGGGAAGACAAAGTTGTTTGTATTCCGACGTCAACGAAGGGGTAATAAAAAAGATAGACTCAACTTTTGTTTTCTCCCAATTGGTGTTTGATGTTGCTCACCAACCATATTGCCTACGACGTTTGACGGGTATCATTTTGGGCTACATCAGTCTGTTCAAATAAAATAAAAATACCTCCAATGGAAAATATCACGGTAATGCATGTGGTAGAGTATCATCTGGTGGTGGTTGTTTCGGTCACTTTAGCTATAAATAATAAATAATGATTTTTTATAAAAACAAATTAATCTATGTTCCTACATTCAAAGGAAACGAAGGACCGCTTCCTCTCTCAAGTTAACTTTT